CCTGACATCACTGGCAGAATCAGATCTGGTAGAAAGGGCAATCAACACTGATGGGCAAGCCTACTGTGGCCAGTTCTAAACCCAGCAGTGATAGGATGATATCATTGTCAAGTCTAGCCACGAACCGGCAGTGATTAAAAAAAGAAAATATGTGTTTCTATTTCAAACGCAGGACATCATTGTTCTCTCAAGCGTCTGTTACAACATTTGTGATTATATAAGTGATGCTATTTTTTTAACTACATACTTATAAGTATTATATTATATAACACTCTAAATCTCAAATGAAAAACTTGTTAAATGAAAAGTTGTAGAACTCGTTGAGTACTACACCTTTGATGTTGAATTGTGTATTCAAAATTTGACTAGGTTTTTGAATCATAAATGATTTATGTTGAAGAAACATGTAAATGCATATCATGATATTTTTAATGCATGGGCCCCCATTCTATGTGGGCCATGATTCCTAGCATCGATAACGAGAAAATGGTGATTTTGCCATCATCAAATATGTGGCTTCCCTCGTTTGCCATCCCACAAAAGTGACTCACTCGTTTGCCATTATCAAACTTGGCACACCAGGTAAATGCCATTCTCCTCTTTTCAATCTCATTTAATCATTTTTTTTATTCTACCCAATCTTTCATTCCCGTTTTGCCCTCGCCTCCAAAACCTTATCCTCTTCTACCACCCGCAAGGACATCTCCATTCTTTCTTTTCTTTCTCCTGCATGCACCCATGGCTTATGCTTCCTAGCGCCCACTGTCGCCGGTTGCTCCAGCCACGGAAAGCCTCGTCATTACTTGGCTGATTTGAATCAAGTACTTCATTTAGACTATTCCTGTTTTACAATTGAGCATGTTGGCTATTTTGATTTGTTAAGACTCATCTAGCCAATAGATCAGAGCCTCACTTTTGGACAACTTATATATTGCACATCATTGTAGTAATATATATTGCAAACCATCACCCAATAAAATAAGAACACAGTGATTGTATATATTGAACACAATCACGTTAATAAATTATTTTCTCTCCATTAATGATAGACCTTTACAAGGATTATGGATGATCTTCCATCATCGCTGTTCGAGGCAGTGGCTACGGTGGGCATTCAGGGTTGCATGCTGGGCAGTTATTAGCCCTACAATCATCCCTTGTCTTGTAAGAAACAATATGCCTTGTGTTCAAACAGCAATAGCAGTCAAAGTCATAACATCTAGCGAGATCACAGAATATAACAGTGAACTTGGTAGTAACTTAGCTTTGCCAAATCTATGTGCTGGAATTCGGGATCCATTACTCTCTACTACATTAATTTGGTTTTGGCAGATATAAGGGCGCTGTTTTTGGATCCACCAACTGAACTTTAGCTGGCTAAATTTAGCTGCTAGAGATCCAGATGGCCAAGCTAAAAGACCAGCTAAAGTTTAGCTACTTCAACCCAGCTAAACCCAACTAAAATTTTAGTTGAGTCTATTAGCTGAAGGATCCAGACACCCCAGCTAAAGTTTAGCTAGGAAAACTTTTAGCTGACTAAAGTTTACCTTTGAAATTTTAGCTAGCTAAACTTTAGTTGGATAGATCCAAAACAAGGTAGCAATCAATTGCCCTAACAAAAATTGGGAAATGAATGCCACTTGCTGGTTTAATTTAGGCACTAAACTGGCATTGAGTACAGTACACTCACTGTGAGGGCCTGACCCGGCAGTGACAGTCATCCAATCACTGCTGGGTGGTAGTGAGCCTCATTATACATATTTATCCTATCACTAGCAGTTAAGGGGCTAGAGCCGACAGTGACTTTCATGCTATTACCGTCGGGTCTAGTACGTACTAGCTCTGCTTGGTTAGTCCCGTCACCACCGATTATCCTCGTGCCAAATGTGAGTAGTGGCGGTCACTATACCTCTGGAAATTTGGCACAATTCTAGAGTCGGACTGGCATACTGCCTTTGGAAACGTATGCAGTGGGCTGGCTCTCACCACTATAAACCGTTTTCACAAATCACAAGCCTCCAGATTTTGCTTTTGTGCCAGCCAGTGAAATTGTAATAAAAACTAATAATGGAAAACTAAACTGCTCACTTTGGATTTTGGAGAAAGTGCGTGGCATAATGCCGGTCTGTGATGGGTGATAGTTGTTATCCATTACTATAGATAGTGACATGCATATACCCGTCCGTTTTGTCATGTGCTTGATGACTAGTAAAGCGCATGGGGGCCTCCTCGGGTCCAGCCGTTCGGACGATTCCTCGCGCCGGCCGGGGTTTCGCGCGCAAAATAATTTCCCCAGGGCTGGCAGCATCGAGCGGTGGGCCATGTGCTTCGTTTGCCACCAACAATCAAAAGAAAACAGAATTGCTGACATCATCACACAATGAATAGATTTGTAAACTAAAAGAATTGTACCTACTAAACCGAGTATCCAAATTAAATTCCGATTACACCATTGTGTTTCTTATTACAAATGGTTCAAAATAAGACCCCACTTGAATATATTTAGATAAAGTTTCATTAACGAACATTTATTTCATAAAGATAGAACATTTTTTTATTATTGATTCAAAAACCAATGTTCCGCCTTCACCAGAAAAATGTTCTTGATTTAGATAAACAGCATTCCAGATCTAAGAGAAAAAGTTATAGATTTAAGTGATTGGTACTATAAATCCGTAAAAATATATAAAAAGAACAAAAAATATAAAATGTATAGAATTATATAATAAAAGAAAAGGAATATAGGAAAAAAAAAAACAAACATGAAAATACAAGAAATAAAATAGAATATCAGAAAATACATCGTAGAACATCACATTTATATCATGTGAACATCACAAAAAACATAATGGAAAATCACATGTATACTACGTGAACATTACAGAATACATCATATAACATCATTGTATACCAAGTGAACATCACATATATACTACGTGAACATCACAAAATACATCATAGAACATCACATGTATACCACGTGAACATTAAAAAAACATTATAGAACATCACATGTATAACACGTGAACATCACAAAAAACATAATAGAATTCACATATATACTACGTAAACATCACATAATACATCATAAAACATCATTATATATTACGTGAACATCATATATATACTACGCGTCACAAAAAACATCATAGACCATCACATGTATACCACGTGAATATTAAAACAACATCATAGAACATCACATATATAACACGTGAACATCACAGACAAAAATCTTAGAACATCGCATGCATACTACATGAACAGCACAAAAAAATATCACAGAACATGACATTAATACCACGTGAACATCGCAAAAACACATAATAGAATATCACATCTATACTATATGAACATGGCATCTCATGAAATATAGAAAATAAAAAATAATTAAGTAAGGTAAAATAGAAAAATAAAAAATGAAAAATATATAGAAAATATAAAAATAAAAGATAAAAGGAAAAAGAAAGAAATACAAAAAATAATACAATATAGAAATAAAATAGAATAATTAATTATAGTAAAAGCAATAATAATATAAAAATAAAAAGAATAATGAAAATCACATGCAATGAAAAAATAAAAAAATAAATTGAAGAAAGGAAATAAAAATAAGAAAAGAAAAGAAAAGAAAAAAGAAAAAATAAACATAAAAATGAAAATGATAAGAATAATAAAAAAATCACCTAAAACAAAAAAGAAATATAAATAAAAAATGAAGCAAGAAAATAAAAATAAAAAGAGAAAAGAAAAGAAAAGGAAAGAAAAGAAAAAAAAGAAAAGAAAAAGAAAGCATACGTACTTACCTACCCTGCTGTAGTAGTCGATCGGAAATCCCACGTCCAAGCTTCCCTCGTGCACGTCGGCGCGCGTGGGCCTGCAGCGCTCGTGAAAAGCCGTGCAAAACAGAAACAAACATACCGGCTGATTCCCGCGCGTAGTCTCATCCTTCCCGCGCGCCGTTCGGCGTGGTCATTAGGTCCCAACGTTTGGACCCGATGATTCCCGAAGCGCATGACCCTTGAGGCCATTATTGCTCATCATCATTGAGCATTTTAAGTAGTGTTTGAATTTCTATATTTTTTATATGTTGTAACTGAAGGCTATAATAGAAACTTTCCTGCATTTTGGTTTCACGCAGAAATTCCTATTTGATAGGCTCCAAAAATCTTTGTTTTTCATATTCCAAGGTTTTAAGAATCTTCCAACGAGTCCCTCTCAGATATGAACATTTCTCATTATTGCTCGTTTGGTTTTCATATAAAAAAACATCAATGCACATTCGTTCTACTTCTCTCGTACGATTAAAATTAGTATAGCATCGAGGGCCAGTAGGTTCTAATATAGTTCACTCCACGACTTGCATTGAGCAATATAATGCACATCACTGTCAATTAGGATTTGGATTTTGGATATCATCTAGATGAAAGAAACTGTAAGTTAGAAACTGGTTGATGGCCGCCAAATAATTCCATGCATGGAGTCGATCAGTGGGGAGACCGCAGCACTGCATGTCTACACCAGTTTTAGTGGGAGTTGCATTGTAATCTGACTAGTGGCGCACCGAGAGGAACAACAAGTGGATTTTATTACTATCTTAAACAATCCACTTTAATTATCTACACTTAACACCTTAAATATGTTTTTATCGTTTTACCACTCCGTATAACTATGTATCTACATTGATTTAGCATACCTATATTTAAAGAATTCTGTATACTTTAATCGTCAACCTCATACCTTACCTCACAAAAAATGCAACAACTATTGTGGCAATATCTTAAACAAGAGAACACTCCACTTTAAATTTTCTCATGAACAGCACCTGATACTAGTGTAATAATGGAGATACAAAAAGATGCATGAAATGATCATAATATTATATTTTGGCATGGGTTATATTAGTGAAAGTTCTCCTTGTTCGCCGTCTATAAATACAAATACTTCTTCCCCGACTCCTCTCATCACGCTTCATTCCTATCTAAGCTAGCTCATCCAACATGATCAGGATGACATCATCCTCCGTCTTCTTCCTCCTGCTCGCTTGCTTCGCAACTTGCGGCAGCGCCGCGACCTTCACCATAAGAAATAACTGCGGATTCACAGTGTGGCCAGCAGGTATCCCGAACGTCGGCGGCACGCAGCTCAACCCCGGGGGGACGTGGACGGTCAACGTGCCGGCCGGGACCAGCGGCGGCAGGATCTGGGGCCGCACCGGCTGCTCGTTCAGCGGCGGCCGGGGCCGCTGCGCCACGGGCGACTGCGGGGGCGCCTACTCCTGCTACCTCTCCGGGCAGCCCCCGGCGACGCTGGCGGAGTTTACCATCGGTGGCGGCAGCAACCATGACTACTACGACATCTCGGTGATCGACGGGTACAACCTGCCCATGGACTTCTCGTGCAGCACCGGCGCCGCCCTGCGGTGCAGGGACTCCGGCTGCCCCGACGCGTACCACCAGCCCAACGATCCCAAGACCTTTTCGTGCAACGGCAATAGCAACTACCAGGTGACCTTCTGCCCCTGATGAGGCAGTTAATAATTAAGAGTGAAGTTCTACCGGTACGAGTGAAGTTGTTAAATAAGACGATCGATATATATGCGTGCGTGTGTATGGTGTGATCCTTGTACTTTCCTATATATATGGAACTTCTTTAAGAGAGTAAAGTGTACTACTAGTGATTCTCGAACTTGTTCGATATCATCCTGGTTCCTAACTCGAGAACTGCTCGTTTAGGTGCAAAAACATTCGCCTATGTCATATTGGTCTCCAAACTTGTAAGTCGATTATTTAGGTTCTCAAACATGTCTGACAGTATCATCCCGGACGCTGAACTCGCAAATCATTCATTTAAATCCTCAAACTTGTTCAGCTGTGTGATCCTAGTCCCTAACTTGCAACTCGCCCTTTATGCTGGCTTGACTTCTCCTTGTCTCTCCCACTCCCATGACAGCCGCACCTCCTTCTGTTGGTCTCTTCTCCCACAACATGTCTCAGTCGCTGCTCGCTCCTTCTCTCCTCATCTTCCATCGCTCCCTTCCCCTCTCCTCCATGGTGGCGGGACACATGAAAAACATAATAATGGAACCATCATGTGGATAGAGTCCAAGAAAAACACCAGAATTTAACATATATATATATATAACATTTCAGTCACAAGCTAGGTATAAAGACAAACATTAATAAAGGAACCAAAGAGCATCAATGAACTATAAAAAATAAAAATAATTAGCAGATGCACTACTGGAAATGCGTGCTTTGCCGAGGGCCTGAGGCTTTACCGAGGGCCAAATCTCGGGCACTCGGCAAAGACACTATTTGCCGAGGGCCAGCCACAGGAGCCCTCGGCAAACAACGGCCCTCGGCAAAGAGGCATTTGCCGAGGGTACGGCCCTCGGCAAAGACAGACCCACGGCAATCAAATCTTTGCCGAGTGCCTGAGATCACATGTGGAGATGTCTGGGTTTCAGGCATCCGACGTCGCAACTCGCTCGAAACCTTCTCTATTTTTTACCACAGCCTACACATGTGATAACATGACATCTCGCCAAGTTTCGTGATTTTCGGACTTCGTATGGATTTTATATAATTTGAAAACACTTTTCCGACAAGTCGGTCGTCATGTTCTGCTAACAAGATTGTGAAATTTGATGCGAGTTCGTGGATAGGGACTCAACATGCACCAATTAACATGAATAACATTTTTCAAAACACTACATTGCAATATTCCATGCACCTGTAGTTCAAATTTGATATATTCGAAAAAAATCAAAGAATCGAAATAAATTAAGGAAATATACAAAAAAATCAAAATTGGCCTAAATTTTAAAATTGAGTTCAAAACAATGTATTGTAGCACCACAAAAAACTGGGCTAAAAAACAAAAAAAAATTGCCAAGGGCTCTTTGGCGAGGGCCTGGCCCGTGGCCCTCGGCAAAGAATTTAAAAAAAAATCTTTGCCGAGGGCTCTAGATCTGGGCCCTCGGCAAAGGACCGAAACCTAAATCGGGCCGCAGCCCAAATTCCTGATCGGAATCTTGTGAAAAAAAAATCCCGCTCGACCATCTCCCTCCCCACGCGCCCGCTCACGGTCGGCCCTGCAGGCGTCCACCACCGCCCACAGACCTTGTTGCTACACGCCAAGAGCTACCCCGAGCCGGCCGCCTGCGCCCCACCTTCGCAGCACCCGGCCGCCCCACGCCTCCACCACCACCGCGACCGCAGCCATTGCTGCGCCTGCTTGCGCCGCAGCCTCGAGCCCAGCAGCCCACCTTGCCCGCCCAGCACAGCACCCAGTGTCGCCACCGCTCCACCACCGCCCACCGCTGCCAGACGCACATTGCCTGCGCGCCACGCAGCTGCGCGCCCTAGCCACCCACGTGCCCCCACCGCCTCGGCCGCCCAGCCAAGGCCCGCCCCACCACCTTGATGGCGGCCGAGTTCGCGCCCTGCCTCCGTTCCCTGTCTCCGTCGAGCAAGGGGAGGTCGCCCGCCCCGGCCGGCCTTCCGGCGGCTCCCCCTCGCCGGCCTTCCCGCCCCGACCCCAGCCCCCAGGCCTCCCCCTTCGCCGGCTGCTATTGGAGGGGAGGAGGCAGAGGGTGAAGTTGGAGGAAGAAGAGAAGGAGAAGAGAAGGAGAAGAGGAGAAGGAGGAAGGGGAAGGGGAAGAAAAGGAGAAGAAGAGGAGAAGGAGGAAGGGGAAGAGAAGGAGAAGAAGAGGAAAAGGAGAAAAGAAAGGGAAGAGGGGGAGAGGAGTACTCCAACGCCGCTCGACCTCGTCGGAGAAGAAAGTGACCCCCGCACCGTGACGCCCGACTCCACCGCAACCCTAGGTAAAACTCTCGTTGTCGGCCTTCGTGCCGTATATGGTTGTGTGGGCCTTCGTGCCGTAAGTTGATATGAGGGCCTTCGTGCTGTTGTGGTTGTCGGCCTTCGTGCCGTTGTGAATGTCGGCTATCGTGTCGTTTTTTTGCATGTTTTGGAAACCTCCCCGTGCAGGGGAGGTGCTGCCGAAATTTTGAACAAAAAATAACCTATTGTCTTTTTATGCAGGAGAAGACTACGTTGGAGGGGACCCAGAGGACCCCGATCGTCTTCGTCGACGTCGCGGTTCTGCCTGCGCTGCGTCGCCTCGCCACTGCATCGATTCGCCACTACCCCGCTAGCCTTACTTCACCGACACCCTAGGTATAAATAACCTCTTTATGCACATGTCTGTCGTAACCCGCGCGTAACCTAGTTAGGCGTCTCCCGTCCGAAAGAGATACGGTCGTAGGTATGCGGATCTTTGCGTATCTGCGACCGTATCTGTTTCGGATTGTCCACGTTTTTTGGACAGCCCGTGGATGCGTAGATGGGTTAGTTTCCATGGTCCGCTCCGGTCCGAGAAGGAGTTTCAGCAACACCTCCCTGTTGTTCTCTGGATACACACTCTCTCTTGCAGGACGTGTATCGGGAGAACAGCGGGGAGGTGCTGCCGAAATTCTGTCTCGGAGAGGAGCGGAGCATGGAAACTGACCTCATCTACGCACCCGCGGGTGGGATTAGGACCTATCCTCACCTATTAGACAAGAGGAACACCGCAGAGATGCAATTGATGGTCACAATACTCTATGCTATAAATGTTAAAGGATGGAGGACCGTTAGTGGATGTACACGGTTTGGAGAAGCGGGAGTGACTACGACTATGAATGGGTGAAGGGACAGATGGTTTCTTGAAACATGCATTTGGCCCGAGGCGGGAGGACATTCTCTAGTTTGGTGTCGCTGCAGCAAATGTGACAACAGGAGAAAAGTAGCGAGAAGACCATGGGTAGACATCTTGTGTTCAATGGTTATATCGCTGGCTACCAGTGAGTGGATCTACCATGGTGAAGCAGATCGTATAAGAGCGGAGGCGGTGAGACCACGCCTCGAGGCTTTTGATGATGATGCCAGGGTAGCAAACATGCTAGATGACGCCCACCAAGCTCACTTCATTTGACAGCGTGAGAAGGAGGAGATGGAGGAATCCGCAAAGGACTTCTACAAAATGTTGGACTCGGCACAGAAACTCCTTCACGAGCGTACAATGATTCCTCAGCTGGATGCGATTGGACGCGTAATGGGGTTGAAGGCCGAGTTAAACCTGAGTCGAGAAGGCTTCGATAAGATGTTGGCCGTGTTTGGCACCATGCTACCGGAGAAGCACACTTTGCCGACGAACTTGTACGAGGCAGAGAAACTCCTTCGTATGCTTAAGATACCGTATGACAAGATACATGTTTGTCCGAAGGGGTGCGTCCTATTTAGAAAAGAACACAAGGATGCAAATTACTGTCCGAAGTGTAAATCCTCCAGGTACCTGGAGGTAGACTCTGGTGGTGGTCAGAAGAAGCAGCTTTCGATCCCCGCGAGAGTGCTACGTCACCTTCCTTTCCTACCGAGGATCCAACAGCTATTCATGACTGAGGAATCCGCGAAACAAATGACATGGCACAAAGATGGCAAACGGTACAATCCTGGGAAGATGGTACATCCGTCTGATGCTGAAGCATGGACATATTTCAATGACAAACATCGTGACAAAGCAGCTGAGGCCCGTAATGTACGTGTCATGTTGGCAATAGATGGGTTCAATCCTTATGGAATGATGGCTGCCCCATACACATGCTGGCTCGTTTTTGTTATCCCCCTCAATCTCCCTCCCGGCATCTCATTTCAACGGCATAACGTATTCTTGTCGTTGATAATTCCTGGACACCCGGGGAGTAATATGGGTGTGTTCATGGAGCCTGTGATTGATGAATTGATCCATGCTTGGGAGAAGGGGGTATGGACATACGATCGAGCTACAAAGACAAGCTTCAAAATGCACGTTTGGTACCACTACTCCCTGCATGACTTCCTGGCGTATGGGTTATTCACCGCCTGGTGTGTTCACGGGAAGTTCCCATGCCCAGTATGCAAGGAAGCCATGAGGTTCATTTGGTTGAAGAAGGGTGGCAAGTATTCGTCATTCGACCAGCATCGTCAGTTCCTCCCTCTAAACCATGAATTTAGAGAAGACATCAAGAGCTTTACGAAAGGTGTTAAAGTGACAGACCCTAAACTGCACTTGAGGACTGGTGCCGAGGTTCGTGTTCAGATAGATGCTCTCGTGCCCAATGAAGAAGGTGGTTTTGTGGGATATGGTGGGGAACATATGTGGACTCATAAATCCGGCTTGACGAGGCTCCCCTATTTTGATGACCTTCTTCTGCCACATAACATTGATGTAATGCATACTGAAAAGAATATCGCCGAGGCACTTTGGGGAACTCTCATGGACACTGATAAGTCTAAGGACAACGTTAAGGCTAGAGTGGACCTAGCGACGTTGTGCGATAGACCGAATCAAGCGATGCATCCTCCTAGTGGTTGAAACAAGAACTGGAAAAGGCCTAAGGTCAATTTCGTCTTGCAAATCGATCAAAGGAGGGAGGTACTAAAATGGATGCAGATGTTAATGTTTCCAGATGGATATGCAGTGAATCTTAGCAGGGGAGTG